TATAAAAAGCACATGAGAAAATGTTCTACATCATTAATTATCAGGGAGATGCAGATCAAAACCACAATGAGATACCATCTCACACCTCAGAGACTGGCCCACATCCAAAAGAACAAAAGCAACCGATGCTGGCGTGGATGTGGCGAGAAAGGGACACTGTTTCATTGATGGTGGGAATGTTGACTGGTTCAGCCTTTCTGGAAAACAATATGGATGATTCTCAAAAAATTAGAAATTGAGCTCCCATTTGACCCAGCAACACCACTCCTGGGAATATATCCCAGAGAGGCAAAAATGTATAGTTGAAGTGATATCTGCACTTGTTTGTTCATTGCAGCACTCTTTACAATAGCCAGAACCTGGAAGAAACCTGAATGCCCAAGAACAGATGACTGGTTAAAGAAACTTTGGTACATCTACACAATGGAGTACTATGTAGCTGTTAGAAAAGATGAAGTCATGAAATTTATATACAAGTGGTACAACATGGAAAGTATCATGCTAAGAGAAATAAGAAAGAAAATAAGTCAGAAAGAGAGGGATAGACATAGAAAGATTGCATTCATCTGGGGAATATAAAGAAACAAAATATGAGATTAATACCCAAGAATAGCTGAGATCAACACCAGGAGGATTACTCCATAGCTCAGAGGCCAGCCAGGCATTCTAGGGGAAAGGGCAGCTCAGATAGAGAAGGGAGCACCAAATAAAGGGTGTTTGGAGGATCCTCCCAGGAGGGGAGATGCGTGTTGAAAGTAGACTATGGACTGAACATGTTTGCCACTCAAAGCCTCTTTTGCAGACCACAACACTCAAAAGGAGAGAGAGAACACAAGGGATTGCCCTGCCACAGAGGCAGGGTGAGACGGGAGGGATGGGGGTGGAAGGGATATTACCCATGGTGGTGGAAAATGGGCACTGGTGGAGGGATGGGTATTTGATCATTGTATAATCGAAACCCAAGCACAAAAAATTGTAAATCTACAACTGTACCTCATAGTGCTTCACTAAAAATTTAAAAAAAGTTAATAAAAAAAAAGTCATCCAAAAAAAAATATTTGCTATATGGTTTGGGTCAGTGTGTCATTCACATTGCAAACAGCTTTCCTGATGATCTCCATGATTCTCAAACTTGAATTAATTCAGGATTTTCCATTTGTTTTACTGACTCAGTCATATGCAAAACTCTCTTCTTTGTGCAGACTCTTTTGGATCTGCTTTTATCTCTCTCTTTTTTTTTTTAGAAGCTCCACAGTTTGGTTAGGATCTTCAAAAATCAATCATTGGAGTTGAGAGGCCTGAATCGAGAGCTGGACTGGTTACTCCCCAAATTCCTACACTGATAATGTATCCCTAACTAAGGAAAGGAGTTAGAGAGTGGAACATTAAAGAAAAAAAAATGCGGGTAGAACGGTAGACAATCAAGAAAGCACTGTTCTGAGAGTCTATGCTTACTTTCCATGTATGTGGTCTAAACATTAAGGGTTAAAAACACAATACTAATTTCTTCTAACTCCTTCCATTTCTATCATTCTTGTTGACACCTCATCTTTTCAAGCTTATCTGAAACACATGCCTTAACCAAGCTCTCGTCTACTATAAAGTGAACAATAATGTCCCTTTAGCTCTGGAAGCATTTAGAGTAGACTTGACAGAGACAGCCTTGGCTGAGACACCAAGTTGGACTTACCTACATATAGAACAATGACCAGAAAGAGTGCAGAGAGTAAAAAAAGGTGATGATTATATATAAGTATTATATACATTTGTTCCTAGAACGAACAGACGCCACTGGGCTATGTTAGCACGCGATAGGGACAAATGGAGACGTTATTGGCACCCACTCGAGCAAATCGATGATTAACGGGAAGTCAAGTGATCAAGTGATTATATATATTTATATATTATATTTATATTATACTCAACTGTTGGAACTAGTCAAGACAGTTGAAAGAAATGTGACTGCAAGTCAATTACAGGGGAAAGGATACTAGAGTGAGAGTGAAAGTATAATACAAACAGGAAATACTTGGCTCTAGCAACTGCATGGCTCTATTGATGCTAACAGAGAAATTCTATTATAGTAAGACATAAGATATGATAACTTCATCTCAAGACTTAAAAAAACATGAGACAAGTAAGATAAAAAGAAAGTCACTAGGTTACAAAGATCATTACTGATTATGACAACATCTCTCTCTCTTTTTCTTTTTGGGTCACACCCGGTGATGCACAGGGGTTACTCCTGGCTCTGTACTCAGGAATTACTCCTGGTGGTGCTCAGGGGACCATATGGGATGCTGGGAATCAAATCCGGTTTGGCCGCATGCAAGGCCCTACCCGCTGTGCTATCGCTCCAGCCCCAACTCAACATCTCTTGTAAAAGCAGTCTATTGGGTCATGCAGAGAGGTAGAGAGAAAGAAAATGCAAGAGAATGCTGAGTACACAGGCTAATTATTTTGTTAATATTTTTCTCTGTACGTATAAATGTGTTTGTAAAAAAGTAGCTAGTGATACATGTTTCTGGATAACGAAATACTGAAATTATGGATAAGAGTATACAATTATGAACAAGGATATACTTATCAAGAAGGGGAAAGATCGAGATTGGAGAAGTTTGCAAGATTACTTATTTTTTGACGTTGGACCATACACATGGTGCTTAGAGCTGACCCCTGGCTCTGTGCTCAGGAACTAGGGAAGCACTTGGGATACCATGAATATAACCTGGGCCGGGTGCATGGCAGGCAAGCACCTCACCTGCTGAACTATCTGCCCTGACCCACATTTGTGGAATAACACAAGCTGCCCCAAAATGACAGGCCACATCGCCATCAAACCCATACAGTCAAAAGAGAAAAAATTAACATTTAATAATTATAAAGAGGAACAAGTGAGAGATAGTTGGAATTGTTTGTGCTAATCCAGTTCGTGTGAGGATACTTTTCCCTACAATCTTTCATTCACAATGCCATTTAATAAAGCACGGTGCACTTCTAAACAGAATACAAATATTTCCAGACAACTGAGAAGCAGCTATTGTCTAAGCAGAGCGGTCTTTAAAAATATAGTTCCTGGATTTATGAATCACTGTGACACTAAAGATGAATTTGAGTATTTGAGTTGACTGGAGCGACAGCACAGCAGGTAGGGCGTTTGCCTTGCACGCAGCCGACCCGGGTTCAATTCCTCCGTCCCTCTTGGTGAGCTACCGAGAGTATCCTGTCTGCACAGCAGAGCCTAGCAAGCTTCCCGTGGCGTATTCAATATGGCAAAAACAGTAACAACAAGTCTCACAATGGAGACGTTACTGGTGCCCGCTTGAACAAACTGATGAGCAATGGGAGGACAGTGCTACAGTACTACAGTGCAGACTTGACTACAGATTTCTGCTGCTGCTGCTCTCTCTCTCTCTTACTTCTCTCCTCTCTCTCTCCGTGTGTGTGTGTGTGTGTGTCTGTGTGTTTGTGTGTAGGTTTGTGTATGTGTTTCAGGGTGTGGGATGTTATTCCACTTTGACGGCTCTTGTAGCTTTTTTGGATAAAGGTGGATAAACATATCACTGTGTCTCTCTCCTTTCCAACTACCATTAAATCAAAACAAAGAAGTGTCACAAAAGGGTAGGGAGTGACTTAGCTTTAAATGACAGGTCAGTCAGGATGCATATATTTGTGACACGGTGGAGAAACAGATGTAGGCACTGCTTCAAAATGTTCTGTCTTCAAATAAATAACCATCGTCAATGTTAGCGCCATTGGACTAATCTTTTTCATTTCATTAAACTCTGTCATTTGGGTCAAATCTTCCTGAAGCCTCCATAAAAACATGATATTTTACACTGACTAAATAGCTGTAGGTTTAGCAAAAAAGATACTAATCAAATACTCACAGCAGTTGTAAGGAAAATAGTCCTTCAAACAAACTTTTGGGAAGTTCTGTGATTTTATTTCCATAGAGGACACTGAAAGAACATTAATTTAAGTTAACAAATACAGGCACCAACCTAGCATAACGAATTAATCCAACTTAAGTGTATTCAGGCATAGAGGTTAATAAGCATTCCATACATCATACAGGCTATGGTAGAATAAACAAACTTTAATTAAAAGTTTTTTCCTTATTATGAATCAGATGCAGCTTATTTTAGATAATTTGGAAAAATGAAAAAATAATAAAAATTTTAAACTGTTCATCATCTAATTACCATTTCACAGAAATTTCTACAGCTAAGTTTTTTTTTCTGCACACATAACACATCACATAGTTCATAGGTAATAAGATCTCACTACACATCATGTACATCAATAAAGAGAACACAAGATATAGAATCTATTGCACACAAAGGGATGGGTTTAGGCTTTTTTTCATATTGGTAAATACAAGAGAAGAACTCTGCATTGGAGCATAGGTTGTATTTTAAACTTGTAATGTTTAGAAATGTTTTAGAAATGATAGCTTTGGCTTTAGAAATGTTAGATTTTGAAGAACATGATCCTCAATATGAAAAAGTTTTTAAGTATATATTCCCCAGAGAAACATGAACAGGAATGATCCCCCTGGTACCCACTGCTGATCAGCCAACAACTTGAATTTCTTTCTCTCTTTTGTATGTTCAGGGCCTGGCATAGGATCTGGCTAGTGGTGACATTCTAACATCTGAAGAAATTAACACAAAGAATGAAACGAGAAGGAAACAGACAGGGTTGACTCATCATATTGGTCATATTCATATAAATCATGGTCACAGTCCTCCTGTTGTTCATCAATTTGCTCAATCGGGCCCAGTAACATTGTGAGACTTGTTACCGTGTTTGGCATATCGAATACGTCACGGGGAGCTTGCCAGGCTTTGCCGTGTGGGCAAGATCCTCTCGGTAGCTTGCTGGGCTGTCCGAGAGGGGTGGAGAAATCGAACTCAGATCTGCCATGTTGGCTGCGTGCAAGGCAAATGCCCTACCCGCTGTGCTATCACTCCAGTCCATTCATATAAAGCACATATATATATATATACACATATATATATATACATACACACATATGTGCAGGGGCCATGCTAATCTTCTCTGTATCGTTCCAATTTTAGTATATGTGCTGCTGAAGTGAGCACTTGCACATGGCCCACCTGGCCAACCCAGGTTCGATTCTTCCGCCCCTCTCGGAGAGCCCGTCAAGCTACCCAGAGTATCTCGCTGGCATGGCAAAGCCTGGCAAGCTACCCGTGATGTATTCGATATGCCAAACACAGTAATAAGTGTCACAATGGAGACGTTACTGGGCCTGCTCGAGCAAATCGATGAACAATGGGAGGACAGTGACAGTGACATGTATATGCAAGAAAAAGCCCCATTAGGAGTAATCCCTGAGCGCAGAGCCAGGGGTAAGACCAGAGCATTGCTTAGTGGGACCCAACCTCCCTGCCAAGCTAGTATACATATAAATTTGGGGTGCCCAAGACCTCTGCTGAAAACCGTACCAATAAGAACCCTTCTCTGAGCATCAACACTTTTGGCAGGGATGAAACCTCCATTTTCTAACTTTAGAAATTAAAATCTGAAATAAAGATGACTTTATTTGGTTGATTTCTGAAGATTATTTTTTTTTTACAACCTTGAAGAAGTAAAATCCTTTATTCATTTATTTCAGACCTTAATTTACATACTTATCTCCCTGAAAATCCTTGGACTTTAAAAGCTGTCATATTTTCTTATCTCTGTTCTTTGTAAGACTAAAGTATGTTCTTTCAGTCTCAAGGTGACAAACCTGTGAAGCCCGCTCACTGATCAACTAGTTTTTCAGTATCCTTAAAAAGGATGATAATGTTCCCTAGAAAGGGTGGCCTTTGGCATATGAATTATAACCAACACCCCCAGTGCACTCAAAAAAAATAAACATATTCTTTTATTTTAGAAAGGAAAAGCAACGGTCGAAAAAGAGGCTATTTAGACTACCCAAATGGTCACCTGAGTGAGTTTATTCTTCCTCATTTTCTTTAAAATAAGAAAACTGCTCTCCAAACAGTCAAATGACCAAATCCTAAAATATACACCTTCCTCTCACAATTATTTTATTGAAAGGTAGCAGTTCCCTGGGAAAAAATGATGTAAGTCATTAATGAATGATAATAATGAATGCCATTCATAATTCATGCAAAGCACTTAATTTTGTTAAACCTGCGTTTGTGAAATAGAGGCACTGTTAGTTCTATATTCTGCTTTCCTTCAATGATGTAGTCAATACTTACAGTGAATTCAGCGAGCGCAGTCCTTGGAAAGCATCTGGTGCTAGTTCAGAAATCTGATTATTGCTCAGGTCACTAAAACAAGAAATAAGGTTAGGTTAAATTGAATAGGATGTCGCTGAGATTTATAGAAGAGAAATCTATTTATTGCCTATCCATGTTGATTTATACATATCAATACAAGTGTAAAACTTGCAATATAAAATATCCTAAGATTGAAAAAGTATAAATATTTACATTTTTGTCAATTTTCCTAGATCATTACTAAATATGATATATTTCTGAGAATAGAACCTCTGGAATTTGATGTCAAACTGGTAAAGCTAGTATATGATTTCACAGTAGTGTGCTTTAACAGGGGGAATTACACAGAAAATTTTAAAGTGGTCTTGGGGTTGGAACAACAGTATAGTGGATAGGGCATTTGGCTCTCATGTGGCCAACCTGGGTTCGATCCTCAGCATCCCATATGGTCTCCTGAGCATAGACCCAGGAATAACCCCTGAGCACTGTTGGGTATATTCTTTCCTGACCCGCCCAGAAAAAAAAGAAAACATTCTTAGTTTGGATTTTAACATGACAATATCATAGAATTAACAGTTAGATAACAATATTTCAGCTCTGAAAGCCACATAAACAGGAGTGGGTGTCTTTACCTGGTCACAGCTCACATGACTTTATAATTACGCATATTCCAAAATATTGTTTACTCACATTCTTCTCAGTTTTTTATATGGAGAGAAAGCCCCAGGAGGGATCACCTTGATTGAGTTTTGCTCCAAACGTCTGCAATGAAAATATGTACATTTCAGAGAGTTTGAGATCAAGCCCATAATTCAAATCATTATCAGATTTGATGATCTTTATGAGTGATATTTTTTTTTTTTTGGCCCACAAATAGTACAAAGCAAGATTTGGGAATGAAAAAGGAACTATAAAATATATCCTACTTTTAGGCGTTTCAAAGCCCTCTAATGAAATCTACATTTTTTTTTAATAAAGGAAGAAAACACATGTAAGAAACATGGGAGTGCATTTTAATAACCTCAATCTCATAAGCAAAGTATGTAGCTACTCTAAATAAGCTTACCACATGTTTTAAAGGTAATTATAACCCCTTAAGAAAGAGAATTATTATTGAATATTATATTTTATAGGCCTCCTATTTTATCTACAGAAAGAATATTATAGGATGAAAAATTAGTTGGATGCAAAAAATTAATCTTGAAGCATTTTATGAGGCAACATCTTAACTGAATATCCATGTATTATAGGTATTCTCAGTATGGCTGATGGGACCTTGACAATTTGTTATATAAATATTTCATGTGAAGCCAATTCAGCAAAGTGCATTTGAAATATTTTTATAATAATGAAGCAAATTTATAATGCACTGAAATAAGAGTGCTGAAAATACCATGCTCACATTTTCTACTCTATGGCTCTGCTAAAGGAAGACACCAGCTAACCCAACCATTAAGAAAGACACAAATTTCATTTAATGTTTTGTTAGTTGCTTCTTGGCTTCATTTTTGTCGGTATAACATCCTCCTAACACTTTCCATCCCACAAGCTGACTCCTATGGGTTATAAATCCAGGGGTCTCTGGTCAGCTGGTTTTGGGGGGTCTTGCCTGAGAGGCATGAGAACAGAATGAAGGTAGTGAGAGGGAGATGCGAGAGTCTCCTCCCCTTCTTCTGTCCTTCATGAAATATCCTCAGAAGTGGCTTCATCTTAGTTTCAGTGTCTGCCCAGGGCCACTTACCGACTGGCTTTGATATACTTTCTTCCTACCTCCTTGTGGACTCTGGTGTGGTGAAAGCTTTAATATCTGTCTCACCTTCTACAAAAAAATAAATCTAATTCCTCTATTTAATAGCTCTATTGAAAAACACTTGGAAAGGCTCCATTTTCCTGCTTGAGTTTTAATAAACAGATATCTGATAGACTGATATGTATACACATATAGGCACAATTATGTATAAATGTATATAAATGTATAATGCTTATGTATAAATGCAGCAACTATATATAATGACTTTTTACGTATCATATTCATTGATAAAATTGATTGCATGTGGATAACTATATCTTTCTTCATTCATCTATACACCAACATTTAATGAACATCAAATGAAAATTAAGTGTACACTGAAGATGAATAGGTCAGAATTTTTTTGTTTGTTTTTAGATTTAGGTTTTTTTAAACTTACTACACTACCAATGTTGGGTTCACTCTCTGGCGCCCTTTGGCAACGTGCTTCCTTAACCTCCGTTGCTTTTGAACTTCATTAGCATTTCACATTCCTATAAAATCTTCTTCCTTGGATATGAAACTCTACATCTCTTATTCTCATTCTTGCCTTCTCTCAGTTTAAGGCTTGACTTTTGTTATCCTCCAAATCAAACATTTCATCAAGCTTTTGTCCTTTTCTCTTGCATGTGGATGGTAAAATTCCTTCTCCATCACCTGCAATCTTAGTCATTTTTTCTTCAGTCCCCCTCCAGAAAATTCAGAATTCATTTGTTTGATGCAAAAGGGAAGAAATTTAATCTTACTTGCAAATTATAGAAGTGATAAAATTTAACTCTTCAGTATGCATTACTCATAGTAGTAACTTACTTTAGTTTTCTGGCATGAAGTTTTATTTTATACAAGTGAAGTTTTATTGTAAAATTTCGTGTGCATCCTATACATAAAATATTATGTAAATTTCCCCACGTCACTAAATATTTTGGAAAATATTATTTTCCGTATCTTTAAAAACATTTTAAAACATTTTTGGTCATATTTTCTTCATTATTCCTTTCATTAGCCATTTAGGTTAATAATAATTTACAACATCAATAGGAATGTGTATAAGACTCTTGAAGCAAGCCTCTGTTTGAATATTTCCCTTACTTTCTCAGGTACAGCTACTTGTAACTAGCCTCGCTTTTGAAGGGCAGTCTCTTTTGAACTGTACTCTTAACTTGCTGTTATTGTTTCCCGTTGTAGTGGCGGTAACCTGGCTACAACTTTGTTAACCTTTGTGCTTTTGCTGTACATCACTGCATACCCCTGTCCCCAGCAAAGTGTCAGAGTTCCTACATCAATATCACACGTCCTGCTTCTATCAGCTTTGGCTCCAAAGAGGAAGTATATCTCAGAGGAAAAGAAATTATATATATATATGTATATCACTGTCCTCCCATTGCTCACTGATTTGTTGGAGCGAGCCCAGGCTTTGCTGTGCGGGTGAGATACTCTTGGTAGCTTGCCAGGCTTTCCATGAGAGGCGGAGGAATGGAACTCAGGTTGGCCAGGTCGGTTGCGTGCAAAGCAGATGCCCTACCCGCTGTGATATAGCTCCAGCCCATATATATATATATATATATATATATATATATATGAACACACATAACATATATATAAAATGATGACATAGCACCTGGGTTATATATCTAGGCCTTTGTGTGTTGTTTGTTTGGGGGGTGCACACCCCATGGTGCTCTCAGTTTACTCCGAGCTATGTGTGTGAGGAATACATCTGAGAGTGCCCAGGGCACCATGAGGTGCAGCATCAGAGATAAGTCTCCTCCAGGAAAAGCATGTGCTCAGCTGTTTCCCCAGCCCATATTTATCTGAATGTTAAGAAAGGGTCATTCATACATATTTAAATATCTCAATTAGCACGGCACTGTTAGCACTGTCCTCTCATTGTTCACTGATTTGCTCGAGCAGGCACCAGTAATGTCTCCATTGTGAGACTTGCTGTTATTGTTTTCGGCATATCAAATACGTCACGGGTAGCTTGCCAGGCTTTGCCGTGGGGGCAGGATACTGTCAGTAGCTTGCCAGGCTCTCCAAGAGGGGCAGTGGAATCGAA